GTGATCTGAGAAGGCCAAGGTGAGAGTTTCAGGGATGAATCCGATTGATCAAAAGTTCTAGACGGTGCTGTGACTAATGCACCAAAGAAGCATTTTAAGATGTCTTTTAAATTGAGCAACTAGAAAATCATTACCAACTTTGGTAGCGGCCAAGATAGAAATCAGAGCCCGGCGAGCTCAAAAAGTGAATGGGAACTAAAAACAGCATCCAGGTAACTCCTGTGGGGAAAGGAGGCAGGGTGAACAAGGTAGGCCATGGGTTTATATGGGCTTCATAAATGATTAATAATATACTTCTGTGGGGAACATATTCGGTTGAGCGACGTGAACATGCTATCTTTATGGGTCACAGTCAAATATGAGAAAGGGCAGGGGGTGTAACCTGAGTGAGAGAGCAGGACATTGCCTTTATTTTAGCTCACCGTGTTCTATAAGACACTCAGCCGAGACCATAACAAAGCATCACTCTCCAACCACATCATGTGTAGCTAAAGACATGATCATTGGAGAGCAGGTGCCAGCTTGGACTCAGAGAGATAGCGCGGGAAGCTAGTTCCAAACTGGGACTCAAGCCAGAGGCGAGGTTTGTGCCCAGGCTCAGTACCCACCCACTGGGGGCCTGCACAAGTCCCTGAAGCCTTCCTGGGCCTCGTTTCCTCATCTCTAAATACAGATGGGGATGTAGATGATGATGATGTAATCTCCACATAGATACATATATCAACATACAAAATCTACAACCCCCTGGAATTGTCCTGAGGATTCAATTAATTACTTCTTATTCATCAAAAGAAGAATAGATAAGCAAAATGTGGTACATAATACAATGGAACGTGATTCAGCCTTCAAAAGGAAGGAAGTTCTGACACGTCACAACATAGACGAACCTTGGCTCAGTGAAATAAGCCAGTCACAAAAGGACAAATACCACATGATCCCACTAATGTGAGGTACTCCGACTAGTCAAATTCATAGAGACAGAAAGTAGAAATAGAGGCTGCCAGGGGCTGGGAAGGGGGGACAAGGGAGTTAATGGGGTTTTTTTAATTGAAGTGTAGTTGATTTACAATGCTGTGTTAGTTTCTGGTGTACAGCAAAGTGATTCAGATACATAAAATATATATATATATATATATAATTTTGAACATATTTGATTAGTTTATATATATATATATATATTCTTCCTCATATTCTTTCCATCATAGCTTATTACAAGATACTGAATACAGTTCCCTGTGCTATACAGTAGGACCTTGCTGTTTAGCTATTCTATATATAGTAGTGCGTATCTGCTAATCCCAAACTCCTAATTTATCCCTCGCCGCCCGCTTTTCCCCTTTGGTAACCATAAGTTTGTTTTCTATGTCTGTGAGTCTGTTTCTGTTTTGGAAATAAGATCAACTGTATGATATTTCAGATTCCACATATAAGTGTTATCATATGGTATCTGTCTTTCTCTGCCTTTGTCTGACTTACTCCACTTAGTATGATAATCTCTAGGCCCATCCATGTTGCTGCAAATGGCATTATTTCATTCTTTTTTATGGCTGAGTAATATTCCATTGTATATATGTGCCACACCTTCTTTATCCATTCACCTGTCGATGGACACTTAGGTTGCTTCCATGTCTTGGCTATTGTAAATAGTGCTTCTATGAACATAGAGGGGCATGTATCTTATTGAATTAGAGTTTTCTCTGGATACTTGCCCAGGAATGGGATTGCACGATCATACCTTGCTCTATTTTCAGTTATTTAAGGAACCTCCATACTGTTTTCCATAGTGGCCGCACCAATTTATATTCCCACCGACAGTGTAGGAGAGTAGGGAGTTAGTGTTTAATGGGGACAGAGTTTCAGTTTTGGAAGATGACAAAGTTCTGGAGACGGCTGGTGGTGACGGCTGCACAACAATGTGAATGTACTTAACGCCACTGAACTGTACACTTACAAATGGCTGAAATAGTAAATTTTATGTATATTTTATCACAATGAAAATTTTTTAAAAATGAGTTACTTCTTAAAGCACTTAGTAACTCTTATGCAAGTAAGAGTGTTACGCAAGTGTTTGTTAAATTAATAGAAACAGAATACACTGGCAGATGCTAAAAAATGGCCCGAGACTGGGGTGGAGGACCAGAAACACCCCCAAAGATCAAAAGAAAGAAACAGGGCTTCCCTGGTGGCGCAGTGGTTGAGAGTCCGCCTGCCAATGCAGGGGACGCAGGTTCGTGCCCCGGTCTGGGAGGATCCCACATGCCGCGGAGCGGCTGGGCCCGTGAGCCATGGCCGCTGAGCCTGCGTGTCCGGAGCCTGTGCTCCGCAACGGGAGAGGCCACAGCAGTGAGGGGCCCGGCCCGCGTACCACAAAAAAAAAAAAAAAGAAAGAAAGAAACAAAGAATTAGGTAGAACGTCAAGTTGGGAAGGGCCTGTGTAAGGGGACAGGAAACAAGGTGATACTACAATGTCAGATGAAAAAAGAATAGAAATGGGATGTGAGATTCACCTGTTCTTTAAGAGAATCATGTAAAAGTTCACTCAACCAACACTTATAAGGAAGCACCTACCAGGTACCAGGCACTCTGCTACGTGATTCCCGCAAAACTGCAGGAACAGGCACGTGAGAAAACAACCAGCCTCACTGTCAAGACGGGTTCTACGGAGCTGCCAAGATCAACTGAATGTAAAATGAGGACTGGGCCAGACAGGCCTGTGATTGTCAGAGCCAATTGGAAGTTGGAAGTACAGTGTAATTGCTGTGGCCGTGTGTACACCCGAGTAGCAGCAGAGCCGCGCTCTGATTAAGCTAATCGCATTCATCACCACCACTTTCCCCTCAAGCCTTTACCCAAGGAGAGAGGTCACCAGCAGACAGATGAGAACAAGGGTTCACAGACTTTTCCAACAGGCCAGCACCTGGAACCTGGCGCCAGACAGCCTGACTTAGCTGGTCTGGGGAGAAGCTGGACATTTAAAAACTCTCCAGGTGATTCAAATGTGCAGCCAGGATTGAGAGCCACCGAATTAGAAATAGCTTCTGGCCTCCGCCTAGTCCCGGTCCTGGGAGGCCCTTAGGTAGCCGAAAGAGCAGAAGATGCTCTGGAGGAAGAGTCAGGAGGAGGATGTGTTTTCATCCCTCGGTCAGAGGGGACCATGTGTGGATCTTACAGGATGACAGGAGACCCAGATGCCCTCAGCAAGAGGAAATCCACCTCCACCTTCTCAGCGGGTGGGCTTCCCAGGGGAGCTTAGCACCCAGCCGTGCCTGTGCTTGTCGAGAGGTCCTGCTGGCACTTAGCAGAAGGGCTTCCTAGGGCGTGTGACCAACCCCGGTCCCTGCCTCTGGAAGGAGCCCTCACCTGTCCAACCAGCAGAAGGGTGCTTCCCGGGAAAACGCAGCAAAGTGTCTCCCGGGCTCTTCACCACTCAGGAGCGGGGAGAGGGAAGAGGGCGCCCAGGGGAGAGTACGTACCTCTGGGCCGCCCGGTGCAGGGTGGCCTGGGCCTGTGCCCTCAGGTGGCCCAGGAGGCCACTGACGGCCGGCTGCTGTGAAGGGAGCTGAAAGTGCAGGCTGCTTCTCTCTTTCTCCAGGGCTTCTAATCTTTGTTGGATCATCTCAGCTGGAAAACAAAAATGATGAGAGGGGAATAAAGAACTATAAAACTCAAAATAGACAACCCAGTGTCCCTGGGCTCCAACCCCAGCCAACGGTCACCTCAATGACATAATACAAAGGTCACCTGTTTCTGGGTCAGCACTTTCATCTCTTGGTTCATGCTTTTAAGAATCTTCCATCTTTTTATTGAAAACGCAGCCCCGCTAGCTTTCATTCTTCTAACTGTCGGAGGTTACAGTCTATGTATTTATATGGTGATCATAATTATGACCATCACATAGGAGGATACATCATACTAATTATTTTTAAAACCATGATGGCTATTTGGGAGAAAACCTGCTAATTTTGATGAGTCCGTATAACCGGTTGAAAAGTATCAGTGCTCATGGGGCTCCCCTGGTGGCACAGTGGTTGAGAGTCCGCCTGCCGATGCAGGGGACATGGGTTCGTGCCCCAGTCCGGGAAGATCCCACATGCCGCGGAGCGGCTGGGCCCGTGAGCCATGGCCGCTGAGCCTGCGTGGCCGGAGCCTGTGCTCCGCAACAGGAGAGGCCGCAGCGGTGAGAGGCCCGTGTACCGGAAAAAAAAAAAAAAAGAAAAGAAAAAAAGAAAACTATCGGTGCCCAAATGTTGATTTTTGAGAATGTTTCCTTAGAAACTGTCCATCAACAGAGAACCAGTCACAATTACTGAAGTCACAGAAGTGATGTTCCAACTGTCACGCTACAGCTGACCAGAGCCCTGCTTCAGGCTCAGGTGTCGTGTGCAGCAACCCTGAGTCTCTGGGGATGCCAACTGCAAGACCTCCCCGTCAATCTGCCGTATGCCTTGTGACCAGTAGCCAGAAACTTGCTCAGAGAATTTGCCAAGGATTCATTCTAGCGATACCAGAAAGGGTCATCTACTTCCTGTTCAAGACCAACTGACAGCTACTGCCAGGGCTCTCAGTCTGTGCCACCTGCTTCAAGGAGACAGCGGAGCTAATTCAGATGCTACACTTACAACACACAGTGGCGTCTGGCCTGACAGGTCTTCTAGGATAACGCCAAAAGGAAGCAGCCCCGTTCTCTAACACCAAGCTTCATACTTGTAAAATACTTTATTTTATTTTAATTAATTTTTACATTTTTATTAATTTATTTACTTTATTATTCAGTTACTTCCTTATTTCTTGCTGTATAAAATCAAAACTTCAGTGAAAAGCGATAAAGTTCTTACCTTATATGCTTTAAAATAACATACTGATGCAGCCCTGATGCAGCAGTAAAGATGTATTAAGATACTATTAGCGATTAGGAGAAAACTGAGTTTGCACCTCAACTCTGACATTTCTAGCTGTCTGACCTTCAAGTGACTTAACCTTTCTAAGCTTCAATTTCCTAATCTGCAGAAACAGGCCTAATAATAGTCTGCACATCATAAGATCTCCTGAGGATTAAATGAGATAATCCACACAAAGCATTTAGCACCACGCCTGGCACCCAGCACGCGTCCAAAAGGAGTGGCTACTATTAGTAGTGCCAGCAAGTCCTGGCCTTCAAGTGTCCACAAGAAAGTCAGAAACCCAGGATGGCCTCCCTCTGCTGGCCACGACATTGTAAACTGCACCCTCCCACTGCCAGGTGAAAAGTCCGCAGAGAACACAAGCTGATCCAGCAAAAGCAAACACTAGGGAAATGGGAAATTGACTGCTACAAATCACATTCACAATGAGTGGCAAAGGAAAATATGAATTATCCCAGGAAACAACTGTGATTAGGTATGTTCTGTGCTGTCATTCATCTGCAGAAATGTGGATATCTTAAGTTATTTCTATTTTATGATTTTAAAAAGTGCACTAGATCACTCCACACCAGTCAGAATGGCCATCGTCGAAAAGTCTACAAACAATAAATACTGGAGAGGGTGTGGAGAAAAGGGAACCCTCTTGCACTGCTGGTGGGAATGTAAATTGATACAGCCACTATGGAGAACAGTATGAAGGTTCCTTAAAAAACTAAAAATAGAACTACCATATGACCCAGCAATCCCACTCCTGGGCATATATCCAGAGAAAACCATAATTCGAAAAGATACATGCACCTCAGTGTTCACTGCATTTACCATAGCCAAGACATGAAAGCAACCTAAATGTCCATTGACAGAAGAATGGATAAAAGAAGATGTGGTACATATATACAATGGGACATTACTCAGCCATAAAAAAGAATGAAATAATGCCATCTGCAGCAACATGGATGGGGCTAGAGATTATCATACTAAGTGAAGTAAGTCAGAAACAGAAAGACAAATACCCTATGATATCGCTTATATGTGGAATCTTTAAAAAAAAAATGACACAAATGAACTTATTTACAAGACAGAAGCAGACTCAGGGACTTCAAGAACAAACTTACGGTCACCAAAGTGGAAACGTGGTGGGGAGGGATAAATTAGGAGTTTGAGATTAACATATACACACAAATATGTATAAAGTAGATAATCAACAAGGACCTACTGTATAGCACAGGGAACTCTACTCAATATTCTGTAATAACCTATATGGGAAAAGAATCTGAAAAAGAATAGATATGTAAATACATATAAATGAATCACTTTGCTGTACACCTGAAACTAACACAACATTGTAAATCAACTATACTCTAATATAAAATAAAATTTTTAAAAAAAGAAAAAGTGCACTAGGATGGTTATCACCGACTTTATAGCTTATCATTGTCTCCAATTTCTAACTTATCACCCACTCCATCCTCCCAATGGCTATCCCATTTAGCACAACTAAATGCTGTATTTGTGACTTCACGTCATTTGTGTGAATCCTGCTGTTTCTCTAAGAAAATCTCTCCCATCGTGCTCTCTATTTGGCCAGTGGTTTGAGGAAACATAACTTCACTGTCTCTGGCTTTTCTTTCTTGTAAACGTCTGCAAGATTTCTGCAGACACTGTTCATCTGATTTCAGTTTGTAGCTCGAGATCGAAAGCCAGAATTGTAGAGAATGCTGCACATAGCAGGTGCTGAATAAATGTGGTTGACTAACCATCTGACTGATAGAACACCAACAATTTAGAATTTGAGTCACATTTGTAAACAACGCTGAACAGTAAAAACAAAGTTAACCATGAAAGACATTACCAAGCGCTAAGCAAAATGATGTATTGAATAATAGGTTCTTAATGACACTGTAAATTTACTTTATGATTCTAACATACTTTATTTGTAGGACCTCAGCAAAGAAAATGCTAACCAACCTCTCATTCCATTTTGGATCAAGCAAATGCATTTTTTGATGCTGCTACAGCATACTTATTAATGTTTAATTTAGGGGCAGTGCTCATCTGTTATTCACTGGCACCTCAGTCCTAAGTGCCTGTTACTTGGGCGACAATATGGAAACACAATGAAAGAAAAGCACTTTCTACATCTATGCATAAATAAGCAAATAGGCATTTACAGAGCAGCAAGAAATCTTCACACATAAAGACATCCTGCTAAATAGATTTAATTCCTACTGCCTTGTTCTGTCTGTGGGATGACAGAATATACGGTGTAAACCATTTTCTTGGCTGTGCAGCCATTCTACATTCTAAGGAGGCCCTTTAAAGTTAAGAAGCAATCAATGTCTTCCTAAGTCATTTTCCCTTGTTTTGTACATAAGAAATGCTATTCATTGAGAGCAGAATATTGTAACAATTCCACATGACCATACACATCGTGCGAGATGACCAGTTTACAAAGAACAAGACTGTGATAAAAGGGCTTCCCTGGTGGCGCAGTGGTTAAGAATCCGCCTGCCAATGCAGGGGACACGGGTTCGATCCCTGGTCCGGGAAGATCCCACATGCCGCGGAGCAACTAAGCCCATGCGCCACAACTACTGAAGCCCGCGCACCCAGAGCCTGCGCTTCACAACGAGAAAAGCCACCGCAATGAGAAGCCCACGCACCGCAACAAAGAGTAGCCCCTAATTGACACAACTGGAGAAAAGCCCACGCACAGCAACAGAGACCTAACGCAGCCAAAGATAAAATAAATACATTTAAAAGGAAGAAAAAGACTGTGATAAAATGTATTTCAGACTAACCCAAGCCAGCCTCTGACATTTCGGTGTGTTGGAATTTGTTGGACTTATTATCATAAAAATCAGCCACTATTGGGGCACTAAAGCCTTCAGGCATAATAATCATTTTTGAGCATCTATTACATGTCTGGCACCATATATACATTATTTCTGAGCTTCACAGAAACTTGTAGAGCAGGAATACAAATGCAGAACGTAAAATGCAGAGAATTTAAGTAATGTGCCCAAGGCCTCAGAATGAGTAAGCAGCAAAGTCAGAATCTGAACCTTGACCCTTCTGGTGCCAAACCCTGGGGTTTTTCTATTATACTTCCCAGGAGCCACGCCTGAATCCATGCCTGCTCCTATAGTTTCCCCATCACACAGGGATGCTGTCTGTCTATTCATTTGTCTGGCTCCCTGGAGACTGGCATCCACTGGGCAGGGCCGAGCCTCAGTCATCTCTGCCAATATCCAGTTCAGCGCTAGGCACACAACAGGTACCGGGTAAAGGCTGAATAAATAAATGAATGTCTACATGTGTATGAAGAGCACTGTAGACACAGAAAAATAACAACCATTCTACCTTGCTATCTATCAATCATGTTATCCTCACAATGACCTCGTGAGGGAAACACGGTTGTTCCCACTTTGCAGATTGAAACACTGAGGCTCATGGAAAGTTTAAGAGATTTTTCTGGGTTAGTCGCACTGCTATGTGGATTCAGAAATGAAGCCAAGGTCTGTCTGACTCCAAAATCTGTGTGCTTCACACTATGTTCTACAGGGACGATCCCATCCTACAGTGTACACCATAACCTGAAATACACACCCGGATGCGTTATGCACATGCAAACTATCAACTCATCTTTCGCCTGACCCACCTTTCTCACAGAAAGCAGTCCGAAGCCAAAACAAACAAACAAACTGGCAATAGTGAAAACAG